AAAAAAATTCCAGTGATGCTGAAATAGGACACCTCTTCTAGAACTCAGGCCAAAACTCAGGTGAGTGATTTTGCAACTGTGTATGAAGATGTGCTCGTAGTTCATCAGCAAATAAATCACCATTTAATGAAACTGAACGCATCTTTGCAGGTTCACTTAAAGCTAGCAGACAACATGATTTGGGCTCTGGGTGGCTGTGGCTACAATGTAGCCATCACCAGTGTGTGAATGTGTGTGTGAATGGGTGGATGACTGGATATGTAAAGCACTTTGGGGTCCTTAGGGACTAGTAAAGCACTATATAAATACAGTCCATTTACTATTTTGTAACAGTTCTGTTAAAAAAGAAAAAGATTTTGAGCCACAGATGCTGCAAATCCCCCAAAAACCTCAATATGAATGTGACGCTCGTACCTTCCAGGTCGTCGATGCTCTTTTCCAGTTTGGCAACTGTCCTCTCGGCAAACTCTGCACGGGTTTCAGCCTGAGAGGAATTCAGACAAAGCATGTCAAAACAAACCGATGAGCGCCAACAAACACATCCATCACGAAAGACTGCAACAGGAGAGCTTTTCAGCCAGCCTTGCTAAGCTTATGGAAAAGTCACGTTTAACATTTTAGCGATGGGGGGAAAAATGCTACAAATGTCTCCGAATGACTGGATTATTCTCACTATTATAATTTCATTCTTAACTCTGTGAAAACATCATCTCACCTCCTTCAGTTTGTCAGTCAGAACTTTGATCTCCTCTTCGTACTTGTCTTCTTTTTCTGAGTACTGGTGACAGACGGAGAGGCAAAGAAACAGCATTAGCTCACACTTAGCAAACGTGCACACAATGGGAGCACAAAACGGCACCATCCCAGGATTATTATTGCTTTGAGAGCTCATGGCGCCACTCCCTCGCTGGCACGTAACAGGAAAGGTGTTGGCCTGTCCTGGGAACAAGTTCTGCTGTTACGCTAACCACTGCAGGTCTGTTTCAACAAAAAGCCATGCCATATTTGCTAAAGACAAGTTGTCATGAGGTAAACCTGGCATGCTGTTGCACTGCATGTCTGTGCACGGGCGGGAATGAAGCAGACACATTTCTGAGTGCGGCAGGTTTCTACTGGCTGCTTATATACACACCTGAAACACCTTACGTAGCCAGTAACACAACTCATACACACACAAAAAAGAAAAAAAAAGCCTCAGTGGCTAATTTGTCATGCGGTAGATAAGTTGGTGTGCAAACATATATTTAAACAGCTGCATATCAAAGGAGTTCAGGTGCCGAGCTCCCTTATATAATAGCTTGAGGGTAAAATAAATGGTTTTAAGGAGAGCCTGATGATACACAGTTATAATGGAGGTAGTATGAAACAGTCCTTTGCCATGTGGTCTCCCTCTCTGAGGACAGCTCACCCAAATTACGGTGCACCGAGCCATGAGTAAAGCCCTAATGATAGGATTGTGTGTGCATGGTGCCAGACTTAGTGTTCAGTATATATATTTAGTTTTTCTGTTTGTGTTTGTGAAAGACAATGAAAGCAACTGCCTAAAGTTTTAGTTTGTTTTGTCATATTATTAGATTTTCACAAATCACATTGATGCATTTTGACAAGAAACCTTTTTTCCCCCCTTAACGGAAAAAAACAAAATTTTTTTTCTATATTTGGAAGATTCTTGTTTGGAAAAACATCACCAATCTCCAGAAAGCCAAAGCAGAATTATTACTTCTTAACGTGTCAATGCATTTCTGTCCGTCTTGTACCTTCTCAGACTGGGCTTCTAAGGACTTCAGGTTGTTGGTCACATTTTTCAGCTCCTCCTCTAGGTCACTGGCTTTACTGTAAGGAGAATTCAACGCATACTTTGTTTTAATCCGAGAGCCGCACAAGAGACCATGCATCTGTATGTGAGTCAAAGGATTTATACATTTGTGCGCTTATTGCATTTACCATTCTGAGAGCTCGGCCCTCTCCTCAGCTCTCTCCAGCTCGCCCTCCAAGATCACCAGTTTACGAGCCACCTGAGACAGAAAAAGAGAAATATTTTAAACTCAAAACACTAAGAGGCTATTAACGATCTGAATAAGGGAATTTCTCTCTTGCACTTAAAGCCGTCACTGTCAGAATCACCTCCTCGTATTTGCGGTCGGCCTCCTCTGCGATGTGTTTGGCCTCCTTCAGCTGCATCTCCTGAATCTCCATCTTCTCCTCATCCTTCATCGCTCGGTTCTCAATCACCTTCATTCCTCTGGGATGACAGGACACGGCGTGAGGAGAGGACAGACTTGCTTTTGTGAAAGTCAGGTGAACTAGATAACACATGTTCTTTTTCTCCAC